AGCTGAACCCTAAGTCCTAAACCCTAGTTTCCATTTACCCTGCCTTTACCCACTGACAACCTGCAAGAAACCCAGCGAAGGCAGGAAGGCTAATTCCCAGCTTCAAGCCCTAATTTCCTAGCTAGTTCAGCACAGTAAAATTGAATCACCTAGCAAGGTCAGTTCCCAGCTTCAATAGCTAAACCAAACCCTAATCCCTAGTTGCTTCGCAAGGTCAGTTTCCAGCTTCAAACTCCAAATCCTGATCCCTAAGTACCTAACATTTCCAGCTTTAAGCCCTGAACTCTATAATTTCCCAGCAAGATCAGTTCCCAGCTTTAAGCCGTGAACCCTATTCCCTGAATTCCTACCCAGCAAGGTCAGTTCCCAGCTTCATGGTGGAGGAACCTAGGCATGAAGATGAGGATGCTGCCTTCGGCATCGCTCAAGACAAGCTGGACTTAGTCAAGGCTCCTGCTGAGGGTTTGGGCTTGGGCCATTGGGGATCTAGGTTTGCTCCGATTTTTGCAATTCTGTTAGTTGTTGCGAACTCTGCTCTGCTTCCAGGTTTTCGGTTGAAGTTTCAATGTATGCAGTGTGAACTGCAGCCTCCAAGTATATGTTACGCTCTGACATCGTGTCCGCTAGGGATCCAGGTGTACAAATACTACCTACATTGGGCCCTAAATAAAGTCTGGGTTACGCTCTTGCATAGTGTACCCTAGGGATCCAGGTGTACAAATAATACCTACGTTGGGCCCNNAATATTACCTACATTGGGCCATGTGAATCCCTAGGGGTAGGGTATATACGCATAATTTGTAAAAATGCGTAAAACCTGCACCATATCCTCAACTGAAGACCCGCCCGCTGCAAAGCCATGACTGGAAGGACATTTTCGGTGACACATCTGTGCTCCGGCCCATTGGAGAGATAGACGTCCCGGAGGACGGCTTCGGACGAAAAGAAAACACATGGATAAAGGATGCTTGGGGTGTACCCATACTTGTATAGCTTGAAAGATATCTGGTACACAGCCCTTGTGTAAGGAGCCAATTCATGAGAAGCCCCCTAAACCCTGAACCCCTA